TTCTTGTCCTTTCTATTACTACATTTCAGTCGGCAGAATTTCCGACCTTCCCCAGGTGTATTTAATATCTGTTAAATGTTTATCTTTCATTTATATCTTTTCACTTATGTTTTTATAGGTTAAAAAGACCATCTGTAAGTTGTCAAAACCCTGTCATTTTAAGTCGTGACAAGGTGAAAATTGAAAAAAATTATATAGTAAGAAGTCGAAGATTAAAAAAAAATTATATAGTAAGAAGGCGAAGATTGAAAAAATTATATGGTAAGAAGGTGAAAATTTAAAAAATTATATAGTAAGAAGGCGAAGATTGAAAAAATTATATAGTAAGAAAGCGAAAATTTTAAAAAATCATAAAGTAAGAAGGCGAAAATTGAAAAAAATTATGTAGTAAGAAGGCGAAAATTGAAAAAAATTATGTAGTAAGAAGGCGAAGATTAAATAAAAATTATATAGTAAGAAGGAGAAGATTAAAAAAATCAGTTCAGTTAAGATTATCAAAATAAGCCTTAGTGAAAATCCGGGGGACTGCAAAAGATCGCTTTTTTGCAACCTATTTTCACACAGAAAAATTATCTTATCCCTTCAGATCGTGGCTCCCCACATCTTCCTGTCCCTTGTAGCTCTTAATAGGTTTTGTCTTTTTGTTATTTCTTTACTCAATCTTATCAAGTTTGTTACGCGCTGCGTTTTCTTTCTTTCTTTTTCCCTCTATCTGTTCCTGTGAGTATCATATTTTCCAAGCCCTCCTTCCTCATTACGTGTCCCAGAAATTTCAACTGCCTCTTCCTGATGTGAAGTATAAGTTTTCTTTTCGTTTTTATTTTCTCCAAAACTTTGTTGTTGTTCACATGTTCGGTCCATGGTATCCTCAGCATCTTTCTGTAGAAAGCTATCCACACTGAGTAAGAATCCTTTTTTATTGTGTGCCTAATAAAACAACTAATTTTTTTTTATTTCTTATTTATTTTCTATTTGGGGAAAATCCCTATAATTACCCTAGTTCTGGATTATCAAATTCTGACAGACAGTTCAAACTACGCAGTTGGTGCTACATTGCATCAATCAATAAATACCCAATCACTGGCTTCTTTTCTAAAAAATTAACACAAGCCAACTTATATGAATGGCAAAGAAACGATTCTCGAGAAATGGGTGGATATTTTCTGGACAGATTTAGGAAATTGATGGAACTTGTCGGCATTATTTTGCGTATTTTTAAATGTTCCGAGCGTTTGTGACATTTAAAAGAAGTGTTTCATAATTAATTCGAAAATACCCGCCCGGGATATTTATCTATCATTTTCTATATAATTTTAGGAACAATTAAAAATTGAACTATTATTATTATTATTATTTATGTGCCGTGTCCCCTCAGGACGTTGGTGATTATGATTCTCCATAATATCCTGTCCTTTGCAGCTCTAAATAAATTCTGTCTTTCATTTATTTTTAAACCTCGTTCCGCCATTCATTTACTTAAGCTCATTAAGTATTTTATGCGTTGTTTTCCTCTGTCCCTCTTCCCTTCACTCTGTCCTGTGAGTATCAAATTTCCCAAGCCCTCTTTCCTCATTAAGTGCAGCATAAATCTCAACTGTCTCTTCCTTAGGTTAAGTATAAGTTTTCTTTTCGTTTCCATTTTCTCTAAAATCTCGTCGTTGCTCACATGTTCGGTCCATGCTATCCTCAGCATCTTTCTCACTTATTATCCGTCATTATTACATATTTTTAAAGGTGTAATAATAACGAATAATATATATATATATATATATATATATATATATATATATATATAGATAACTAGACTCGTTTCAAAAAACCTCGAATTTTTGATTTGCTAATCAAATCAATCTCGAGGGAAAAAGGTTTTAAAAAAGAAAGAGCTACAAACATGAACTTCTGCCGACAAAAAATCGCACAGATGCAGGTCTGAAGCCCAAAAAGAAAAACCCAGATACGAGTAAAAAACTAACTAACAAAAGAGCTCAATACAACCGTAGAGCAGACCTAGATACACCTAGTGAGCCAGACAAACCTACCTAGGTTTCACCTAAACGGATCGTCAGGGAAAGTTTGGCTAACGAGGCAAAGAGAAACACATATTTATAGGTGATAGCTAAAATCATACCACGTGACAAAAAAAAAATCCTCAGTGGAAAGTCAATAACGGGAAAACGTCTAATTTAGTAGCCAAGATTTTTTATGTCTACATACATTAAGAATTTCAGTTTTAGAGTTTAATAGCTGGTTAGGTTGATCATATATATATATAAGCCTTAAACACTAATATTCCATGGTCATAATTTATTCCAATATAATTAATTATAACCATGGAATATTAGTGTTTGAGCCTTTTTATTATATTCTTACTCTGTCCTGGGCATTGAGTTCTACCTGGATTCTCTCCTCTTGGGAATTTATATATATATATATATTTCATATATATATATATACTTACTGACCACTAATATTATCTATCTATCTATCTATCTATCTATCTATATATATATATATATATATATATATATATTATGCCTTTAAATTCCTTGAGGAACATAGGGCTGCAAGATATCCTTATGATCATGATACCATGATCGCTTATGTTCTGAAGAGAGAAGACACATATCGTTTCTATAACAAGTTTTTAAGCCAACTGCACAATCGCCATTCTGGAAGATCAGCTTTTGAATTCAGAATTGTCCTTCTCCTTGGCCAGTTGCCATCCAACGCTATAGAACCCGTTTTGTCCTGTTATTTACCCATATCTGGGGGAAGAGGATTCATATTTCCCAAGGGTATTAGCCTTTAAATGACTGGAATTCGAACTCTGCTCTCTGATTCCACAATCCGAGCCGCTATCCATTACTCCACTGTATCTCTTTCTTGTTTAATGAAAATATATACAGAAAAAATAATGCTTGCGTTTAATTAAAATAAAATGTTTCTTTAATATGCCGTGTATCTTCTGATCGTAGGTTTCATGACTCTCCACAACTTCCTGTATTTTGTTGCTCTAAATAAATTTCTCCACTCCTCTTTGTTCTATCATCCATTCCTATACGCTCGTTAAAACGTTTATTCACCGTTTCTTCTGTGAGTGTCATATTCTCCAAGCCTTCTTTCTTCATTATGTGCCTTAGAAATTTCAGCTCTCTTACTGATTGTAATTATCAGTTGCCTTGTAATTCCTATATTCTTTAAAACTCTCTCGTTACCCACATGTTCTGTCCGTAGTTTTTTAGCACTTGTCAGTAGAGCCATATCTTCAAGTTTTTCTCCATGTGTCAGGAGATTGGCAAACCGCTTGATTGGAGATTAAATATTCGCAGAAAATAAAAGTATCAATTAATCTCATGTAAAAACTGACATTTATTATTTATACTTTATGCCAAGCTTTACGCTAATGAACGCTTTCATTAATCAGTTGCAAAGTTGTCTTGACTCGAATCTTATAAAAGCCTCTTCTTTCTTTTTAGTAGAGCTGAGGACCTTTCGGCGTCTTCCGCTTTAACTTAAGCAAGATAGAGGACAAATCAATACTGCAGTGTACCTGATTCTGAAAGTTCTAATCCCATATTTGCCCTTTTTCCTTGTTGGTTAAACATGGTGTTAAAAAATTTAAAAAATGCAGTCTTTTGGCGGTGAAACCTTTCCAGGTCGCAAGCCTGGTCGATTGTTTATAGAAGCCCTGCGCTACCCAGGCTAAATAGCCGCCCTTTTGGCCGTATTGACAAGATCCAAAAGAATACAGTGCATTACTCGGTGTGGACCTCTTAGATCTTGTCGAACTCTCTGTCTTCGGGTAAAGAGGAACCCAGACAAGGCTATGCCAAAGGACAGTCTCATCTGGGGAGGTAAACAAACTGATCCCGTATGTATGTAGTCTACAGGGAATTTTTGCCCAAGCCAATGGGCTAGGATTTGCTCCACATAAAAATTGGCCATGTGCCACATCCTGACTTGTGGAGAGATTGATAAATAACATGCATTACATCTGTGTACGTCTTGGCTGCAGGAGTTGCCGAAAATTATCATTGTCGACTGCCAATCGCCTTTGGTTCTGAACTCCGAGTTTTCTATCTGGATTTACTTCCGTAAACTTTTCCGTATTTAGACATGACCGCAAGGCTGTGGGGAGTTTTCTTCTCCTAAATAGTCTGCTTTCCTAAGCTGTAGAGCTTCATCTGCCAGAAGCAGCTGATTATGATGCGTCAGTTGTTCACCTTCGCACATTCACCGCCTTAGACTGGGCTATCTAAGACGCATGCCGCAAGGAGCATTTTATAGACAGTAGGAGCTTGTCCCAACTATAACCCCCACCCCGCCTATGGAATATATATATAATGTAGGTATATAAAAACATTATATACATTATATATTTTAGAAGCACATAAAAATTTGGCGGTTTGTTTGAATTTATAAGAAGTTAAGTAAAGAAAAACACCAGAAAACAAAAATTACGGAATGGACGTATAGAAATAAGCAGAGATATGTAAAATTTTGTTCATTTTGGGAAAAGAGAGCAGAAGGCATAAAGAGAATATACATCAGGATTTAAACTATGAAATATTTATGATGCTTTTAGATCCAAAGTGAAAGAGAAAGAAAATTGCTAGAAAATTAAGTTCTTTATTATAAGAAGGAGTAAATATTATGAAATGCGTGCAAAATCTGCCAAGGCACAAGAAAAGAAAATAATTAATAAATAATTCATCAATTTATTTTACTTTACGAACATTTGGTTTGTACTTTGAACATAGATAACTATAGCTGACCACTCGTGATTCAAGGATGCCTGTGGCTAGTCAATCCATATTACAGGCGCTTGCTCAGGCACATTTGCGTTTCTTCAACACCCACAGAGTCCACCTGTGGTATATACTGCAACTATGCTGAGCAGACCTTAATTACAGTTTCGGGGAAAGGGCGTGTTATCAAACGTGATCAACAATTTGAACAAGGCCAGGAAGCTCAAACCCTCGGACACGATGAATTTGAATATGTCGGTAGCATCTATCTATCTATCTATCTATCTATCTATCTATCTATCTATCTATCTCAGTCTGTTTCTCTGTTCATATCTATCTATCTCAGTTTGTTCATATCTATCTATCTATCTATCTATCTATCTATCTATCTATCTATCTATCTATCTATATATATATATATATATATATATATATATATATATGAGTCTGTTCATATCTATCCATGTCTGTTCATATCTATCTATCTGTCTATCTATCTATCTATCTCAGTCTGTTCATATCTAACTATCTAGCTATCTGTGTATATCAGTCTGTTCATATCTATCTATCTATCTATCTATCTATCTATCTGTGTATATCAGTCTGTTCATATCTATCTATCTATCTGTGTATATCAGTCTGTTCATATCTATGTATCTATCTATCTATCTATCTATCTCAGTCTATTCATTATCTATATATCGGTATGCGTCTTTTTTTCAAATTTTGTCGTAAACCTTCAAATTGTGTCTATTGGTGTACGCCTTTGTTATTCTGACTGGGGCCGGGCTTAATCTGAATGATTCAGTTAAAGAAATGCGTGATTTAATGCGGCCTTTCTCCAGATATTTTCTCCCTTGTGAAAAGAAAAAAAAACTTTCTATACAAGCCTACATATTTAACATGAACACATGAGAAATAACGTAAAAAAAGCAGACATTTCCATAGATACTTGAATAATTTTCAACTCAACCATCACAAAATAATAATCGTGAGTTTGCAAGCAACATAAATCTCGGACACAGCAAGAAAAAAAAATTCCATGATGTTCTCTCAACAGAAATGAAAAGAAAGAAAGTTTACGTGAGATTTTATTGTTTATATTGTAAGTTGTTTTCAAACCCGAAAAGATAGACTTTATATAATGGGAAACTTTTGATATTTTTATTTGCGAAGAGTGAAATATTGACAAGATTTTGAATATTTCTTTTATTTTAAAGATTGTTTTTGCGGTATTTATGTGTCATCATAAAAATATACTTAGTCTGTTTAGGCAAATAAATTGATTAGAGGTATTAAAAGAAAGAAAGAAAGAAAGAAAGAAAGAAAGAAAGAAAAGAAAGAAAGAAAAGAAAGAATAAGAAATTAAGAAAATTAAAAGAGAAAGAGAGGAACTGAGAAAAAAGAAAGAAAGAAAGAAAAGAAAGAAAGAATAAGGAATTAAGAAAATGAAAAAGAAAGAGAGGAACTGAGAAAGAAAGAGAAAAAGAAGAAATTAAGGAACTAAGAAAGAAAGAAAAAGAGTAGAAAAATAACAGATTTCAAGGAAAAGAATGAAAAAATAAAGAAAAGCGAAGTAAAAAAGAAAAGTCTAAGATAAAAAAAGAACTAACCTGATAGATAGATAGATAGATAGATAGATAGATAGATAGATAGATAGATAGATAGTGAACAGACTGAGATAGATAGATAGATAGATAGATAGATAGATAGATAGATAGATAGATAGATAGATATGCACGTATGGAACATTAATTCCATTAATGCGTTTATTCCATTATAATTATTGTTTTAATTACTTTTCAGATGAACTGATCGCAGATGACTTGTTACCAAGCGAATATGAGAGTAATCAGGACAAAAGGTAAGTGAACCAATCTCAAAAACATTCAATCATAATTTGTAAACAAAATACTATCCTATAATCATCGAACTAAATCTAAACCAATCATACACCTTACCAATAATAAGCACCTTGCATATGACCCCCGGCTCTCTCTCTCTCGCTCTCTCGCTCTATCTATGTCATGTTTCTTCAGATCATTGCTCTCCACAGCTTTCTGTCTTTTTCTTCGGCTAAACTTCCTCCTTCATGTGTTTGTGGTATTTGTTTCTCAATGCCTTTTTCTAAATTTATCAAGTCTATTATTCGCTCTTTTCCTTTTTTATGTAAAGATAATAAATTCCGATAACTAATTTTTTTTCACCCGTAAAATAATTGTTTATTCACTTCTGGACTCCGTCTCATTAACTTCTACCGAATCGAGGGTATGTGGTTTCGGGGACTTTCTTCGATCTTCTTCTCACAAAGGTTTTAAAGATCCTAGCTCTCGTCTCGTAAGTCGGACGTTTAAATAAATTCCTGTTATCCGGTTGTCTTGTCTGTTTATATTCTTATTTCAGTCAAGATTTCTTCCTTTTAATGTTGATGTATCTCTGACTTCCTATGAGACCCGATTCTGTACTTGGGGTCTTTGAGGTCACCTTCTCGGTCAAACTACAGGGTTTCTAGATTTTTTGACTCTGAGGTGACACCTAATACTAAAATTATGTTTTTATCTTCTTAGACTGTACCTAGTACATATTGTGCTCACCATGTGTTTAATGGTTATATACTATGCACCTCATACTTTGGTCTGCATGACTAGTGTCCCAAGAGAGAAGTTTTTAAATTCACAATTGTCATCCTCCTAGATTGAGTGCCAAACACGGCTAGAAAGTTTGGTATGTAACCCATAATTGGGGGGGGGTATAAGAAATAGATCCATACTTTTCCAAAGGGATTTTTTCAAAAGTGACAGTAAAGAATTCAGTGGGAACTTGATTTCCGTTCGCAGATTTCTGTTTCTGAGTCGCTAGCCGTTAAAGTATCCACCTATCGAACAGATCGATTCTTCTTAAATCAAAGGTTCCTAATCGACATTAAATTCGATTCAGACATGGCCTGAATCACATATCACACACAAATTCTTTTGGCTTGGGTAAATCCTGTGGGTTTTAAATTCTCAAATAACTACACTATTTACATTATTCGGACTATTGTCCTCATATTTGTCGCCATATTTATTAAAACGTTTCGGCCGTTGTATGCTCCGGCCTTCTTCAGGTGGTTGGAATGTCGAACTGAACCTTTTATTTTGCTCACTGGGGTAGACTGTTCTAGTTCCACGTGCCATGTTTAATGGATGTCAGTTATCAGTTATCTCCTTTTAATTCCCCTCTCCAAGTTCTCCACTGCCTTAACCGGGTATTGAATTCACAACTCTTTGGGTCCTGTCACTGGATCTAACTAACGCCTTTAAATAATGTCCTTCCTCTCATATTAACAAGAAAGCCTTTATAACTACTCAAACACACTTAAGCATTTTTGAAACAGCCAAATCATCGTTTTACAAGAGGTTTTCACAGATTTAGTAAATTTAATCAAAACCACGTCCAGAATATTAAGATTCTTTGTGACGATGTACGCAAAGTAGTCAGTTTAACTTTTTATGGCGTATTGACTGATTCTGTTTAATGCAAAAGTCCTTGCCAGGGTCGGGATCTTCATGCTTGATCTCTTACCATTAATCAACATCCTCTGGGAGTTTTCTAGTTACATTGATTTTTCTTGTTACTGTGAACTTAACTCGCTTGGGATGGATCGATTGCAAAATATTTCCAATAAATTCAATGAAAAAGAAATTATTGTTAAATTTATACAAAAGAAAACTTTTCAAAAATATCGGTTTTATATCCCGACGCGAGAGAAAGACTTAATTTCTTTGATGTTGCCAGGCTTTTAAAAATCAACTTGAAATTAGGCACTATTTATTTCTTTTTTTAAGTTTATCAATCAGCACAAGTAGCTGATTGGGGGGTCTTTTAGCTTAAAAATACAAATGGACAGGTGAACGCAAGCTCTGCTCTGCAAAACAAAGTAGAATATGGCTCAATAGTTGTTTGAGTATTTATTATCACTTTCTTCATCTCAGAAATATAGACAGATACTGAAAGGACGAAACGTTAGAATAAATATGGCGGCAAAGATGAGGACAATAGTTTGAATAATGTAAATAGTGTACATAATACCTCATCTCAGAAATATAGACAGATACTGAAAGGTCGAAACGTTGTAATAAATATGGCGACAAACATGAGGACAATAGTTTGAATAATGTAAATAGTGTACATAATACCTCATCTCAGAAATATAGACAGATACTGAAAGGCCGAAACGTTGTAATAAATATGGCGGTAAAGATGAGGACAATAGTCCGAATAATGTAAATAGTGTACATAATACGTCATCTCAGAAATATAGACAGATACTGAACGGCCGAAACGTTGTAATAAATATGGTGACAAAGATGAGGACAATAGTCCGGATAATGTAAATAGTGTACATAATCCCTCATCTCAGAAATATAGACAGATACTGAAAGGTCGAAACGTTGTAATAAATATGGTGACAAAGATGAGGACAATAGTCCGAATAATGTAAATAGTGTACATAATACCTCATCTCAGAAATATAGACAGATACTGAAAGGTCGAAACGTTGTAATAAATATGGTGACAAAGATGAGGACAATAGTCCGAATAATGTAAAATAGTGTACATAATACCTCATCTCAGAAATATAGACAGATACTGAAAGGTCGAAACGTTGTAATAAATATGGTGACAAAGATGAGGACAATAGTCCGAATAATGTAAATAGCGTACATAATACCTCATCTCAGAAATATAGACAGATACTGAAAGGTCGAAACGTTGTAATAAATATGGTGACAAAGATGAGGACAATAGTCCGAATAATGTAAATAGTGTACATAATACCTCATCTCAGAAATATAGACAGATACTGAAGGGCCGAAACGTTGTAATAAATATGGCGACAAAGATGAGGACAATAGTCCGAATAATGTAAATAGTGTACATAATACGTCATCTCAGAAATATAGACAGATACTGAACGGCCGAAACGTTGTAATAAATATGGTGACAAAGATGAGGACAATAGTCCGGATAATGTAAATAGTGTACATAAATCCCTCATCTCAGAAATATAGACAGATACTGAAAGGTCGAAACGTTGTAATAAATATGGTGACAAAGATGAGGACAATAGTCCGAATAATGTAAATAGTGTACATAATACCTCATCTCAGAAATATAGACAGATACTGAAAGGTCGAAACGTTGTAATAAATATGGTGACAAAGATGAGGACAATAGTCCGAATAATGTAAATAGTGTACATAATACCTCATCTCAGAAATATAGACAGATACTGAAAGGTCGAAACGTTGTAATAAATATGGTGACAAAGATGAGGACAATAGTCCGAATAATGTAAATAGCGTACATAATACCTCACTCAGAAATATAGACAGATACTGAAAGGTCGAAACGTTGTAATAAATATGGTGACAAAGATGAGGACAATAGTCCGAATAATGTAAATAGCGTACATAATACCTCACTCAGAAATATAGACAGATACTGAAAGGTCGAAACGTTGTAATAAATATGGTGACAAAGATGACGACAATAGTCCGAATAATGTAAATAGTACACATAATACCTCATCTCAGAAATATAGACAGATATTGAAGGGCCGAAACGTTGTAATAAATATGGCGACAAAGATGAGGACAATAGTCCGAATAATGTAAATAGTGTACATAATACCTCATCTCAGAAATATAGACAGATACTGAAAGGTCGAAACGTTGTAATAAATATGGTGACAAAGATGAGGACAATAGTCCGAATAATGTAAATAGCGTACATAATACCTCACTCAGAA